CCCCAATGCCCTTACACGTGCGGGTGGTAAAAACAGCAATCAGTTTGGTCAGTATATTACCATTGAATAATAAATTCAGATTTATTATTCAATGGTATTACGATTTACGAAAGTTACGTAAGTAACAAACCAAATTATTTGTTTATCCACCTGACGTACCGACACGACACCCCTTCACTACACGAGGAAAATTAGTCTTAGTACTCCTAGATCAGTTTGCCATTTTTGCTGGTACTAATGGCGTTGATTGACGGATTTCAATCGATGCTAATTTATAGCAACAACACCTAAAAACACATTATTTTAGCGTGTTGGTAATAGGGTGTTTTGTTTGAGTTGTTGATTATAGTGAATCTGAATATTGTGTGCGCGGAATGGGAAGGGAAAGATGCGTACCTACATAAGAAAATGTACGGAGGGAAACGATATTGCGAATTGTAGTACCGCCTCCTCAGTACTCTAAATCTACACCCCGCAGACCCCTGAGAAACTAAGCGACGGGTATAGAAGCCTGAACTTGAAAGTGATAATGAACATGTTTTGCAAAGTTATGAGGAAGGTGTTGAAGTAAGTGTTCTGTAAAACTTTGTGTAGGTAGGTAAAAGCCAAAGAGTAAATTATATGGGTACTCTTTTGGTAAAGGTATCAAGGAGTGAAATGTTTTAAAAATAATTGAAGTAGTTGTATTCTATAAAAAATTAAAAGCTTGTCGATTGTATGTATTCAATATCTTTGATTTAAACGTGGATATATCAAGGTAAGATCCAGGATACAATTTCACATTTTGTAATCTACGCGCGTACGGTATAAGGGGTCGCATGGCAGCATTTGGTCTGACTGGTTGTCCTGGACCTCCTCTCCACGTATTATTTAGGATACACATCCCGCCTCGGCCCTCTGACTAGGACCCTCGGCCAATTGATCAGTTACGGCGATCTATGTCTCTCATTTTCCTCCCGGCTAACACACCTGCAAGTCGAGATGACCCCCTAACTGTTTGTATTATCAATGAGGTCTTAGATTTTTCGTTCGATTCGAGCGAATACGTCACTCAGCGGTAATCATCGGACGCTACCCGAGACCGCATTAAAGAGTAATGGTCATGGCACTCTCGGAGCCCATCCAGGATATCTGCCAGGGGTTTTACACAACAATATCCTAACAACAGAGCACGGCCAACATGATGGCCTGCACCATTCACTCACCACTTACTACACGTGGGAGAAATTCACATTCCAAGGCTAGTACGCCAAACTCAATACTTCCGATGCTCCCCTTAGCATATCTTAGGATCTTTACCAGAGTGCGTGCGCATCCTTAACTGTCTTAACACAATCCCATAAGACCCTTGCGCCCATCAGTGCAGAATTGCGTATACTTGACCAGTCAGCTTACCACATTTATCAAATAGGGGTTGCGTTGACAATTTACTTTTTCATTATCAAGGCCGTGCAGTAGGTAGATATTGATAAAAGTAAACACATTTTTATTTTCCAAGCATTGATTCAATAAACATGTTGGTTAACAATACAAACCGCATTTAAACAAGTAGGCCGAGTATCTCGGTTTGTAATAAAAAATGGACAGTGCGTTGCTCCTAAATAGGGCAACAACCATTGGGTGATTTAATGCAATTTTGCTGTACGTAACTAAACATCTGACCAGTAGGGCATGGAGTATGTGAGGATGTTACTCCCCATCCAAACCAACCTGCAACGCAAGTATAATAACTGATGCATTCTCTTCCAGGGAATTTCGTGGGTTCCGCTTTATTACAGGTTGGTGGCTCGTAAGTTATTACTAAAAATGTTTTATTATCCGATAAAGCCCATAAATATTTCGTCAAGGATACTTACTCTCGCGACATCCAGCTTTATTTCCATCTAAAATGAAAATAGTTACGTGCTATAGTAATTAAATGTGTAGCTAACTTACTGGGTGCCGTTGTTGGTGAGGTGGGACTAAAATCAGAAAAAATTGTTCGGTAGTAAACAGCTAAGAAATAAATGCGCAAGACGGTTTGTGACACATCGATGAATTTGCAGTCATAGTTTATGCTGCAGTCATTTCATCAAAGGTGAGCTATGGGTAGCAACGAAAAGCCCAGGAATCATCTTTGGTGATAATGACCGTATGTTAAAACACTAGGTATAGTTTTAGCAATGGCATCATAGTGCAGAAACTGAAATAAACGCACGAAATATTGAAATTTTTGGGGGACACATACTTTAATTTAATAGCAGCAACTCTCAATAACGCTTTATTATATTCAACGATAAACCGAAACAAACCATCTCGCGAAATTTAGTCCACTTGTGGATTCGCCACTCGTGAATTAAATCCTTAGAATACCTATTTGACTATCTGTCTAACACAACTGTGTTGAAACTTTTTTGGTATAACTTGTACTTACTCAGTGCCATTGAGCGGACAGCAGCACTTAGACGTTGGCGCTTTGACGGAGATATCAAAATTGCAGTTAGGTGCAGTGATTGAAACAGTTTTTTGGGAAACTGCAAATCCTGCTATAGAAAGGAAGGCCTGAATAAAAAGAAGTGTGTGAAGAAATTCGTCAAATATATTCCCTTACCAGTATCACAATCTTCATCTTGACGACTACCTACCTATAATGAAGTTAATTTCTAGTATCTTGTAATGAAAATCGACCATTTTAATATTTGATATTCTTATCAGTGTGCTCATGTGCTGACGGCTAATAAATTGTTGGTGAAGTAAACTCAGTCGCACCTGATAAAAACATATTTATAAGACTTACACTTTAAAAGTTTCCACCCCATCGGTTTGTTACACGGAAAGACAACCAATTGTACCTTTATGGAAATAGGCGGATTAGGTCATTTTCAAAAACTTTACAAAGCCAAAAAATATCACAGTTACCTTTGCCTTGAACTGAACAAACAGGTGTCATATTTGGCTAAGATGAAGATTACATGGGCAAACGTATCGTCTCGTTAAAATAAACATGTTTTCCACGTGTTCAATTAAAATGGAAAAACAGTTTTTTTTTATTTGACTCGACTGGATCTTAAGTGGGTACGTTTGGACATTGGTCCACCCACCAAAAGTGCCATAGTCGAACTTTCGTCAGATAGATGTAACAGTTACTTATACATTATAAAAGGTTGGAGACCTTCGCTCGCTTTCCTAGCACAATTAATTTTACCCACCACTAGTCCCCAAGGTCTTGCGTTAGCATACCATCGATGCCATATAGGCATTATACAGATGCATCAATACCGTTACCTTACAGAAGTTTGGCCTATCTCTTTTTAAAAAAAATCAAAATCAAAACTTGACTCTTTGCTTTGACTGCATTCGAAAATTCCAACATTGAATAATTTAATAATTATTCATTTTTGATCGCCCACTGTACCTACAACTAGGTATAATACTTGAATCTATTTTTGAATCTTCTTGCTGGCTGTCTATACGTTCTCGTTTTCTGCAACAGACCCTAAAGTTGCATTAAGTATTAGCTAACCACTTGTGCGTGAGTGACGTTTGTTATGGTATCCTCCAGTGGTTTGTACCCATGCAGGTTCATAGCAATTTCAGTGTGGATGACTCTGGAGCAACATCAAGTAGTTCTTCGGATTAAAAATTTATAAATGTATAATACTTCCAATATAGATTCATTTTTGATCAACGTCCACTGAAATTGGATCAACATCAAAACCATAAAAATCATATTTAGATCAATTTTAAAGTGGTAATCAATTTAAATAATGTAACTACCCCTTACACTTATCTCCTTATATTTTCTTCTGCTAACTGCAATAGGTACAACAGTAGGAAAGAAGTTGAAACGAGTGACATGAATTGCAATCCAAAATCAACCGCATCAGTGACTCTTCATTTCTAATGTACCACAAAAGCTAAAATTGACTGCAAAATTTAGTAATTTTTATATGATTTGAGCATTTTATGTACAAAACAAAATTCAAAACATTTCTGATTACTTTGTTACTCATTGTCACATTTTTTCTTTCGCTCATTGTAATTTACACCTACTTATAGCATTTCAGTTAATCATCTTCAATAATTAACCCTTAATTCTTCTCTCTTTTTACTTTCATACTTTCACCCGCCTCTTCAATTAATTTATCAAATTGTTCTCAAATTGTAAAATTTTAATATACAGTTGAAATCGGGAGTCTGTGGCCCTGCGCCATTAATTTTTGAATCAATTTCGGACAAGTTTTTGTCGATTTCGCACACTTGATAGATGTTACAATGTAACGTATGTCTGAAATTGATTCACAAATCAATGACGCAGGGCCACGATCCTTAAACAACCCAAATTTACTCGGTAAAATACAAACCTCTTGTGCAATTACATATAAGTGACAAATAAACCTTCTGAGAGACGCCTAATTTTATGCAACCAAAATAACATGCGCACGCATTTTGTACTGTCATTCTTGATTTTAATAAAAACGACAGTTTTACGTTATGATGGAGAGATATTACATTCGCCCTCTATTTCCCTTATGTTTCTCATGGGATTTTCTTCCACAAAAATTAAAACATATAGTTTCATATTCGCATTTAAATAACCAGTAATGTTAAAGTGATCAACACACAAAATAAGTCTCTTGCGCTCCTTACACTATTACCGGCACTATGCCAATTGATACATCGCACACGAACGAAAATAAAAATACGGAAGCCAAAGCAACAATATTCAAATTAATTAATGTGGCAGCCAGATCTTTGTTTGAAGAAGTTATTTTGGTTGCATAAAATTACGCGTCCTTCAGAAGAGTTTTTGTCATTTAAAACTAGACATAGAAAATCCCTCTCTCTCTACTTTTAAAGGAATATCACTGTAGATGGTGATTTAACAAAATGTTTAGTATTGAATGTACAGGAATCAAATTTGCTAATAATGTATAATTATTAGCGAATATACTAAACCGTCAAATGTCGTTAGCTGAGTTCGACTCCGATCTTAACCCTATTATTTTCGAAATAGACCTGGTACAAAGCAACAATCTCACAAAATACACGCGATCGTACAAAGGTACAAACACGCAGATTGGAATACATTTCGCAAGACATTCTACACTAACTTAACAATGAACAACATTAATACAATAGCGAACAACTAAACGAAGAAACGGTTAAATTAACAAACGGAACTAAAAACAAGTTAAAAAGTAATCGTAAACGATTTACATAAAACGCATTTCCATTCATTTCACATTTGTAAGATGCAACTTCTGTTAAAATCGTAAAAATCCGGCCACAAATATGAAAGATAGCGTTGCACATGGGCAATCCATTTTTGACGTGCTACTTCAAGTTCAGTTTATGAAGAGAATTTCATTTCAATGCTTTTCTAAATAGGAAAGTTGTAACTGCGCATGCGCAAACCTAAATTTTGAAACTAATGTTAGATTTTCCTTTGTTCCAAGCTCCTAAATATCAAATTTCACTTAAATGCTTCCATAAATAAAAAAAGTTGACACTGCGCATGCGCGAAACCAAATTTTGAAACTGGCGTTTGATTTTCCTTTATTCCAAGTGCCTAGGTATCAATTTTCATTCAAATACTTTTATAAGTAAAAAAGTTTGCAATTCGGTTTATAAATGGTCGAGATGCGAAAAGGGCACTGTGAATTTTGAATCGATTCAACTTTTGGCATTGCGTATTATATGGCTAAAGCTATGCCCATATTGAATTTCATGCAATTCAGTTAATAACTAACGGAGATGTAAAAGCGATCGGACATTTCTAAACAAAGTTATCGTTCACACGGACAGATACAGGGACAGATAGACAAAGGAACAGACGCACAGACCAACAGACAGACGACAGACAGCAATACAAAATTATAAACGATCTCTAGGATCGTTAATAAACGGCAAAAGTGTAAAATTATGGAACATGTAAAAAACGGTTTTTTGTTTTTTTTTACAATAACTTTTTTTGTAAGCGGTACAGAAAAAATTCCTTCCTTGGTGCAAGACTCGACACCATAACGAACCAGCGAAAAAAGTAGAACAATAGCTCTTAAGATAAAGAACTAGTAGCGTCGCAAAACAAGAGGACGGACGGACAAAGTGGCCACAATAGCGCATTTTTTTTTATTTTTGTGGAAATGCGCTAAAAATAGTAACAAACTCGGTAACAAACGTCGAAAAATCATTAAATGAAAAGTATACAAGGATACTCTACCACATGACGTACCTACTAAAAAATATAAAAATACAATCGGAAAAAGGATGGCAACGTACACTCGACCCCCACATCAAAAATTAAAATAGAACTACAACAGACGCAATCAAACGAAAATTTGGTCTAAAACCTCGCCAACATATTAAAATAAACCACGAACGGTGCTCTCTGGAAATTGAGTGAAATCCTTAAGTCGCCATCAAAATTTATTTTATTGTTCAAACAAAATGTACCCTTTTACAATAAATTATTAACCTTGGTACATAAATAAAGTTAGAAGCCGTGTAAAAACCTAAATTAACATAAAATAAAATTAAAGCAAGTAGCTATTGAAGTAAATTCTTAACCTAAACGAACTCAAGCTCAGCAACAAAAGAAAATAATTAATGCTCACGTTCATAAATTAGGACCTTGCTCTAATTGTAACGGAAATGCTCCAGACATGACGTCGCCTTTGGCGCTCTGGAATTTTCTACGCGCGCGATTATTCGAGAATGTACTAGACTTACATTGCTTGCGTGTATAAATGGTTGCGGACCGAACATCGCGGCAGTTTACTATCGAACGAGATCGAGCGCGGAAATAGTTATTTACGTTATAAGTCCGGTAGGTTACTTGTAACAGTACGAGTTAGACATTATGGACGAGGCGACGTCAGGAGCCGAGTCAAGAATGTCTTAAACGAGTACTGTTACAAGTAACCTACCGGACGTATATCGTAACGTATTTTATTTCATACTGTAAGTCTGTTTTGTATCATTATTTCATTTCAAAGATTACAAAATTTCATTATATTGTAAAAATCGCATTACCTTGTTTCTGTGGCAACGGCCGTTGCTATAGTTTGTAGTTTGTTGACATTGAATTTTTTTCACTGAAAAATGGACGCTATAAACGTCGTGGGATGTTCCACTGTTCCCGATACAATCCTGTCGAAAGAAATCTCATAAAAGGCGCTTTCTTTCGGCTGCTTAGCAATCATGATTTCAAAATCGTGATTCGTAGGATCACGTTTTACGAAAGAACGCGCGAATTTAAATCAAAGTATGGTTAAGTTTACGTATAGTACACATTTGCATTCGAATTACGTATTTTTTGTTTGGATTATGAAAATAATTTAAATACAAGTGGAAGTACTTGCACAATTATGCTCCTCTTCAGTTACAAATATTGACTAATCGAACATTTGAGCAAAAATATCCTTGCATTTATAGGTTAGGAATTCGTGATCATAAAACTTTTATGTTCAGTTTGTTCACACGATTTTAGCAATCATGATCATAAGATCACACTTCGAAAGAACGTGATTTGACAATCCAAACGCGTTTGAATCACCGAAAGAAAGCGCCT